ACTATTGCCCTGTGCGTCAGCAAACAACTGCATGAAACAAGATGACTTTGCTTTTTTACTCAGTTCACTAACCACTTTATTTCTTAAACCTTTAAAGATCAATATATCTATTTGTTGTTTTGTAGATATGGATTTTTTTTCAGTGTCAGATTCCTCTGTTTCATTAGCTGATGAATATCATTTTTTATCCAAGGCAAAAAAACTTTTCTCCTGTTGCTTTTAAAGGAGCATGTAAACTTCTGGATTATATTTGCAAGTGTGTCAATCAAAAAATCACATCACTCATTTAAATTATCAATTTGAAATATACTCTCCCAGTTTGTTATTATTGTGAATTATTAACTCTGGTTCCAAAAAAACGGCTCTGAAATAGTTGTTTTGTTAATTTTCTGACAATCAAGGTCAAGTTGGGATCAGACAGACCTGTTAACTATTTATAAATTTTTGTAACCTGTTCTGGTTTATTTGTAAAAATTAAATCTATCAATGTTTTACTAGTTCGATTGATTTTTGTAGGACTCATTATCATTTGATGCAATTTATATTTAGATGCAATAATTTTAAGTTTTTTTTTCTTACTGTTATCCAACCAATTTATATTAAAATCTCCCAGTAAAATTGTTTCAGTGCGACAATTAAACAATTTAAACAGTTAATCAAAATCACGGTAAAACGAAACATTATGAGAAGGAGGGTTATATAACACCATAATATTAAAGTTAATTCTCACTGATAACACTACATTTAAAATTAAACATTCAACAATTGTATTTAAATTAAACAATTGTAAAATATTATTACAATGGCAGTTTTATACTTCAGTAGATTTTAACATGTAATTTATTTCTGTGATGCAAAGCTGAATTTTCAGCATCATTCCACATTCACATGATACTTCAGAAATCATTCTAATATGCTGATTTGCTGTGCAAAGCAAAAAATAAAAAATAAAAATAAAAATAAATCATTATTATCAGTGTTGAAAACAGTTGTTCTTGTTTTGCGTAATATTTTTGTGGAAACTGCTTTTTTTCCCCCTCAGGATTTTTGAAGAACTTTAAATATATAATGTTCAAAAGAACAGCATTTATTTGAAATATGAATCATTTGTAGCAGTATGAAAGTTTTTATTTTCACTTTTGAAAATCTTAATTACTCCAAACTATTGAACACTAAAAGCATATATTTCTATGATCAATTTAGAGTTTTTATAAAATAGGATTTTGAATGAATAGTTTTTTTTTTTGTTCTCCTCGTTTGCAAGTTGCTTTGGATAAATATGCATAAATCTGGTTTAAAAAAAAAGTACTGTATTTGTGAATGTCTTCTGAAGCCATACACTAGTCTTACACTGTAAAAAAATTCCCTATAAATTAACGGTAATATACTGGCTGCAGGGTTTCCAGGAGTGTACCGTAATTTTACAGTTTTATTATGGTATTCTGAATTACGGCTTTTTTGTAAATTAACAGTAATATACTGGCAGCAGGGTTTCCAGCAGTGTACCGTAATTTTACAGTTTCATTACTGTATTCTAGATTGTTTTTTTGTCTGTAATTAAACGGAAGAACTGGCAATTTTGCTAATTATTAACTTTATTATAAATATCTGTACTTGAACAAATTCACAAACTGGCATTGTAATTTCATTTATACAAAAAAAGTGGCAGCAAATACACAGAAAAGAGAAGACCAAGAGGGTATTTCTTATAGCACAGTATTTATTTAAGTGCCCAAGCAATAATTCAAATGCTTTCTCAAAAAAGCAATCAAAATGGAAGAATCAATTTGCAGTCCAATGGAAGAATCAGTCTTTTTGTATGTTAGAGCAAGATGAGATGAAGAGAGAAGAAAAATGAAGAGAGAAGAAAAATGAACCATAGCATTACAAAACAGACAATGTGCAAAATGAACCCTGCAGAAGTCTGTAGACATATTTAAACCGATTTAAGTTGACTATATAACCACAAAACAAGCTGCCATTTAAGGTGTATCTGTGTGCTATGAGTATGACATAGCATGGGCATGGGCTTGGAGTGTACGTTCCCCTAAAAACAGCCTTTCAGAAATGGCAAACAACTTCTGAACAACAATCTTATTTTGGTGTAATAAAAGTCAAAACCTGGGAAGGATTTGCAGAACAGTCCAAGAACGTTTCAGAAACATAAAACTGTCACCAACTCTGATGCAAGTGTAGCCAGGGACGGGTGTAGTCTGAAACCTAAACATTGAAAAAAAAAATGCTTTGCAAGTTAAAATAACATCAAAAGAATGTCAAAAGAACATGACAAAAAGCAACATATAATACTACACAAACATTTCGGTAACTTAGGGCCCTATGATTTCAACGATGTGGAAAACACGGACAGAATCACCGAATCCAGTCATGAAAACGGAATTAGTCAAATTTTGGATGAATACATTAAAATAGTGTTGTACACCTACTGAAATCGCGATGTGGATTAGTGTAGGTGAATATTAAACCGCAAAAAGACTATTTAAATATTATTACTGCATGTTCTGTGTGTCTCTGTGTGAATGAATGGCGCAGACGCGTGGTTTTGTTTACTACAAACATACTGAAGCACACGTGATGCTTGTGGTGTTTTCAGCGCCCGTTTTCTCACCATATGATGACAGGAATACATGAACTTCACATAAGAGCTTCTTTGAAAGCCACTTTACCAGCATTTTAGTTTTATTTGTGAAAAACTAGCGTCATTTCATGTACACACACACACACAAAAAAATATAAAGCTTCTTCTCATCTAAAAGTTTGGTCTAATGTGAAGTAATTGTGACAGAAATATATCACTATTGTACAGTAGAATATGTCGTTTTCAAAGTAATATAATAATACAAATAACAATTATAGTAATAATAATAATAATAAAAAAATGATGTTTAAGGAATAATTACACAATTGTTCTTCCATGTTTTAATTGTAACAGGAATAAAAATGGAATTTGAGAAAGAAAAAAAAACAATAAATAAACCACAATTTTTTAAGTAATAAATTATTAAATTTGAAAAATTTTACTTCAACTAATTCAACATAATTTTTTGATTTTGAAAATGAAATTAAACGATTACAACAGAATCCAGAACAAATAAAAAGGACAACAGAATGTCGGGGGAAAATGAAACTGAATTTGAGAAAATAAAATATTTCATAGGGCACTATTATTATAAAAAATTGAATAAACTATATAATATGTGAGCCTGCAGCACAACAGCAACGGAATTTGGGAAAAAATAAAACGGATTTACTTAATTTCTTCATGAGTGTTGTTAAATATTAAGTAGATTTTACCTGATAATGACAGGTGAGTTGTACTTTATATTAGAGCAGTAAAATTTACTTAAAATCTACTTAATTGTTACGAGGATTTTATCAAGTAAATCTTAAAAATTTTTTTCAGTGCAGAGCACTCACATAAAATTTTTAATTATTCATAGAAGTGGAAAATGCTTCTTTTCTCTTTTTAATTGCCAATTGTATAATTTATTCTTATCAGTTCAAGATTTATTGTAAATAGGCCTGTCACAATTGCTCGATATAATCAACTGCGTCGACGCTGATAATTAGTCGACATCATTATTTTGAATCGACTGATGATTTTATATTATTTTACCTTTTAAATTTCGTTTTTACGCTTCGACTAAAATAACAACAGTTTCTTCCACACCACTAGTATGAGCAGTGCTTAATTTGTAAATTGCGAGGTCCCGGAACAAAGTGGGGTGACCGGTCCGGCAAGTGATTAGAGGACGGAGAGGTAACGGTGCATTCGAGCAACATTAGTGGACCAACTTAACTGATTAACAGCTTGCATCAGTTGCTTTTATAGTGTGCATGTACTCTAAAAAAAAAAATCATGGTTTAAATAAAATCATTATTTTGTTTCAACCCAAACATTTTTTTTTTGTGTTTGGGTAGTTTTTGTGTAACCCAGCTCCTGGGACCGGACAGTTGCAACAACAAAGGGGTTGTAATGAGTGCGGACTGCATCCTCTTCAGAGTAGTTCTCAGTGCCGCCGACGACTTGCATTTTTTTGGTCAAATATAGGTTTGTGGATATTTTATCTATAAAACCGTTTCTTTGCTGTAAATTATTTTTATTTTAAATGGGATGCGATGTCATTCACCAAAACGAGTCGCATCAGTCTTTTTCGACTGATTACTTTTAAATGTAATTTTTTTTTACTTCTAAAATTAAAGTTAAACAAGTTTAAATGTAAGAAATATTGTATACGTGTTTAAACAGTGAAATATGTTCTATTAATAACTATTTAATTAAAATGTATGTGCAACTTCACTTGCCTAGATGAAATCCCATTCGAAATCCATGAGATTTTTTTAGTAGAGAGGCAACCTTTGGATTGACTGTAGCAGATTTCTTATTCGCCACCTTCCCCGTCTTCTTAGAGCCTACCTTGCCTCTGCAGGTCTTTGAGCCTCTTTCTGGGTTTATTCCAATGAAGCGTGTAAGGGCAGTTGCATTACAAATTACCAAAATATACAATAACCATTTCTTAAAATTCTGATTAATTAATTAGATTTACAATTTAGATTAATTTGGTAACACTTTATAATAAGTATACAGTAACAAAGCACGTATAAATCATTTGCAAACTATCTATATAGATGCTGTCTCCTTGTTTGGATTTATTGTGGATCTACACGCCTTTCTCCTATTTTCTCCCAGTGTCTGGCATGTGAATAAAACCACATTTGGCAGTGTTTCAGATAATGAACTGAAATGCAGTTTTATTCACACATCAGACACTGGAAGAACACAAGGAGAACACAGGAGAAAGGCTGTGAGTTAACTAGTTTGCAAATTATTTACTACTTTTACTACTGTATACTTATAAAGTGTTACCATAGATTCTAAGAGAGTGAAAAAAAAACATAAGCAAAAAGGAAAATACTTACCTTTGAAGAAATTCTAACGTGCAACAAGGCTCCTCTTGATACTGCAGGTTTAAGATGTAGTACACAGCAAACACTGTTGCAACTGCAGTCAAAAATGTTGACTGGACACACTCACAAATAACACAGCCCTCTAGGCTTATCATCTACCATACAGCATTTGCCGGCTCTGCCATACCTAAAATAAAAATAAATAAATAAATAAAAACAATAACAATTAACACATTTTTTTCACAACTAATTTCAAAGAACTACCTTCAAGAAAATTCAATTTTAACAATCGTGTACCATAGCAATGTTAACAATTTTATATCTCAACCATTAGTAAATGTTTCTACTTCATCACATGTAATGACACACTAACCCAGCAAAATCAGACGAGGACTGGCAGGCAGATTGAGGGTCTTCTCAACATCAGATGCAGATACCTGTAGAGAACACACAATACGCAAATAAGAATACATAATATAATTTAGTGAAGTGGAAAGAAGAAAATTAAATACTTACGTCTGCATGCAAACCCAGTCCATCTTCATGTTCCTGGAAGTGGGACATTAACGTTAGACTCTTGACAAGCAGGTGTGCCATCTCTATGTTCTCAGCCTGGGACAGGACATGCTTCACCTTTTCATTCAAAACATGTATTAAACAATTACAAATATTCTGTCTACCGCTCTCTCCTTCACACACACACACACATACACAACTGTATCCGAGTATGAGGAACAAGTTATAATGTAAGTGTCAGAATGAAGTAACATATAGAGGTTTTGTACGCGGTTTGCTCCAATTTATCCAGTGCAAAATCTGCGATTAAAATTTGCTCATATACAAAGCCCACTTAATAAACAATAAGTTAGAATATATTTAGATTACACTCTAAATTGCTTTAGATACGACTTGTGATGAAATCCGCGCAACGCTTCCACTGAGAATGCGTCACTTCGAAAAAGCAAACGTTTCTCCTCATCCTCCACCGATCAAGTCAAGTGCTCATGCAAAAGGCGGCAAGTTTACATGCTTCCTTAGTCAAATTAAGTTTAAACGCCTTTTTTCGATTTCCCTATATATAAGGTTAATATATGCCAACTTTACACACGCCTAACTTAGGAACAAGAATGCAAATTAAGCAAATCCTCCATTTTAAACCACACTGGGTTGGCGCCAATGCAAAACGCAAATATAAAGATTGTG